CCCCTTGCCTTCACCAAACTGTTGTTGTGTCCATGGGCTATGCACATATGTTCTTCAGCTGATTTCTTCAACTTCTTTTATTGAGTCCACCCCTCCCATGTCAGATCTGTTGGTCTGTTCCATGTACACATGTCTCTGGATCTATTTTGTTCATCAGTTTATATAGATATTAATTTCAGAGGATGGGAGAGGGAGAGATAGAAACATCAATGATGAGAGAGAATCATTGATTGGCTGCCTCCTGCATACCCCACACCGGGGATGGAGCCTGCAACCCAGGCATGTGCCCTTGGCCGAATTGACCCCGGGACTCTTCGGTCCATAGGCTGATGCTCTATCCACTGAGCAAAACCAGCCAGGGCTCATCAGTTTCTTTTGTTCATTAGATTACACATATAAGAGACCATATGCTATTTCTTTTTTTCTGATTGGCTGATTTTCTCTAACATAATAATCTTGAAGTCCATACATGCTGACATAAGGATAACAGTTCCTTCTTTTTACAGCCATGTTCTATTCCATGGTGTAAATGTACCACAGCCTTTTTATCCACTCATCCACTGAAGGGCACTTGGGCTATTTCTAGACCTTGACTATTGTAAATAACATTACTATGAACATTGTGGTGCATATGTTCTTTCTGATTGATGTTTTGGGATTCTTAGGATTTATTCCCAGAAGTGGGATCACTGGATCAAAAGAAAGTTTCATTTTTAATCTTTTGAGGAAAATCCCTACTGTTCTCCACAGTGGCTGCACCAGACTGCATGCCCACCAGCAGTGCACGAGGGTTTCCTTTTCTCCAGTCCTGGTCAGCACATGTTGTTTGTTGATTTATTTATTGATAGTAGCCATTCTGACAGGTGTGAGGCAATACCTCATTGTAGTTTTAATGTGTATCTCTTGATGATCAGTGACTTTGAGCATTTTTTCATGTCTATTGGTCATCTCTATATCCTCTTTGGAGAAATGTCTATTCAGGTCCTTTGCCTATTTTTTAATTGTTTTGTTTATTTTCCTGGTGTTAAGTTGTATGAGTTCTTTTTTAAAAAAATATATATTTTATTGATTTTTTACAGAGAGGAAGAGAGAGGGATAGAGAGTTAGAAACATCGATGAGAGAGAAATTGATCAGCTGCCTCTTGCACATCCCCCACTGGGGATGTGCCCGCAACCAAAGTACATGCCCTTGACCAGAATCAATCCTGGGACCTTTCAGTCTGCAGACCAGTGCTCTATCCACTGAGCCAAACCGGTTTCGGCTGTATGAGTTCTTTATATGTTTTGAAAATGAACCCCTTATCTAATGTATCATTTGTGCATATGTTCTCTCATACAGTGAGATCTCTTTTCATTTTGTTGATGGTTTCTTTTGCTGTTCAGAAGCTTTTTATTTGATGTAGCCTCATTTATTTGTTTTTCCTTTTGTTTCTCTTGCCCTCGGACAGTGGTCGGCAAACTGTGGCTGGTGAGCCACATGCAGCTCTTTGGCCCCTTGAGTGTGGCTCTTTCACAAAATACCACTTGTGGGCGCTCACGTACAGTGCAATTGAAACTTCGTGGCCCATGCGCAGAAGTCAGTTTTCGGCTCTCAAAAGAAACTTCAATCATTGTACCGATGATATTTGGCTCTGTTGACTAATGAGTTTGCCGACCACTGCCGTAGGCGCTGTATCAGCAGGCATATTGGTACAAAAGATGCCTGGGATTTACTGTCTATGTTTTCTTCAAGATTTTTTCTGTATTTTTTGTGTGTGATATAAGCTGGTGGTCTAATTTAATTTTTTTGCTTGTGCCTATTATTTTATTGAGGATTTTAGCATCTTTGTTCATTAGGGATATTGGCCTATAATTTTCTTCCTTTGTAGTATCTTTATTTGTTGTTGGAATTAGGACAATACTGGTCTTCTAAAAAGAGCTTGGAAGTGTTCTTTCCTCTGGATTTTTTTTTTTTTTGACATTTTATTCTTTCTTTTCAAATATGTCCCTTTAACATATTTTGTAATACCGGTTATGTGGCAGTGAACTTTTAAAAATAATTTTTTTTTGTCTGGGTAGCTCTTTATCTCACTTTCAAATCTAAATTATAATCTTGCTTCGTAGAGTCTTTGTTGTTGCTGTTTTTACTTTGGTTATTTTGTGCCAAACCTTTCTGATCTGCAAATGTTTTGTTGAGAAATAAGCTGACCTTTTATTGGAGCTTCCTTGTACATACTGTTTTGCTTTGCTGCTTTTAAGATTCTCTTTTATTTTTAACTTTTGGCATTTTAATTATGATTTGTGCTGGTCTGAGTTGTTTAGGATTGTATGTTTGGGACACTCTGTGCTCTCTGAAATTGTATGTGTATTTTCATTCACCAGATTAGAGAAATTTTCCATAATTATTTTTTTCAAATAGGTTTGATGTCTTTCTTCTTTTGTTTAGTATCTCTGTGATACAAATGTTGGTATGCTTAATGTTGTCCTAGAAGTTTCTTAATCTATCCTTATTTATTTAATTATTTTTCTTTTTGCTGTTCAGATTGGATGTGTTTTCTTTGTCTTTCTAAGATTTGAATCTCTGCTTCATTTGAATCTCTGCTACTGTTGATTCGTGTTCTTCGTTTCAGTTATTGTGTTTTTCATTACTCATTGGCTTGTTTTTATATTTTCAATTTTCATTTTAATGTTCATTCTCTGTTGAAGCTCTCAGTGGGTCCGTCTTTCTTCCCCTAAGTTCATTGAGCATCCTCATAACCGGTGTTTTGAACTCTGTACCTGTTTGATTGCTTGTCTCCATTTTGTTAAGCTCTTTTTTCCAGAGGTTTTTGTTTTCCTTTTCATTTGGGTCATATTTCTTTCTCTCCTCATTTGTGCTGCCTCTCTGTGTTTGTTTCTATGCATTAGGTTGATCTGCTGCATTTCCTGTTCTCAGAAGGGCCTTATGTGGGACATGCCCTATAGGACCCAGTGGTACAGTCTCCCTGTCACCTGGTTGGGTTCTCTAGGTCTTTCCTTTGTGTGGGCGGCGTGGGCCCTCTGTTGTAGTTGAGTCTTCATTGCTGTTGTGATGTCAGTGTGAGGGGTTGACCCTTAGACTGACAGGCTGTGAGGAATGTCTGTGACTGCAGCAGATGAGCTTTTGTGCAGGGGCTGGCCTGTAGAGTGCAATTTGCTTTCGTGGGGCTCTGCTGCCTGCTGAGCCTGCCTTTTGGGTTTGGCATTTGTGGAGCTGGTTGGGTGGTCCTCTGTTTTGTTCTGAACCTGGCCACAAGGTATATTGTTTCTGAGGCCTTTGTCAGGGGAGGGGGAGTGGGGGGGGTGTTGGTGCTCTGGTTTGGTCCAAGGTCAGCCACTGCCTGTGTCCTGCTCAGGGCTACCTGGTAGGAGGTACAAAGTGATCTGCAGAGGGTTGCCACCTGTGCTTGGTTTGGAGGTACCTGGGAGAGGCTTAGTAGAGAACTGATCCAGCGTCCACTAGTGTCTTGCTTAAGGCAGCTTAGCAAATGGTAGCGGGCCTGCTGAGGCTAGATGGGACTTGTTTGATATTTTTTGAACTTTAGCAATATTTCAGGAACATGTACACTGTGACCTGAGGTAGCCAGTCTGTTTGGGAAAGAGATTGGGGTAGGAGCATGATTTTTGTTGATCAGGACCAGGAAGGGTGATTGGTGTTAAGTAGTTTAGTGAATGGCTTAGATATTGTGCCCTTTGAGCTTCAGGCTGGGGGTGAGGAGGACTCAACAAAGGAACGATGGTGTCTACCAGCACTTCTGTCCTTGTACTGAGCTGCTTTAGCCCTGGCCCTCCAGCCCTCACCCTAAAGTTATAAGTCCAACTGCCCCCTGTATGTCTCTGACTTTTCATGCTGCTGCCCCAGTGCTGGAGATCAGAACAAACTGCGTTTAAGTGAGTCTGTGCATAGGTCTCCAGCAGCCCTTCATCTCACTCACCTGCCACCCTCAGAAGTTGTGGGGGCTTTGTTTTCTGGCTCCGAAGCCTTAGGCTGTGGAGCCTGGTGTGGGGCTGGAACTGCTTGCTCCTCAGGGGTTCTCCACAGCTGAGAGATCCCTCTCATTTCTTATCCCCACAGCATGGATGTGGGGCCTCTTCAGACCAGGTCCCTGCCTCTCCCACAAGTCTCTGGTGGCTTCTTCTTTCCACCCTTAGTTCTAGGCGTTCTGCTCAGCTGCCCTTCAGGTGGTTCTCAATGATGGGTCTTCAATAATTTAGTTGTAACTTTGATGCAGTAATGCATAGTGAAGGGAAGTCTGTTTGCTTTTATTTATAATTTATCTTCGGTATCAAAAATATAAGAAATATTTGGTTTATAGAGCAATGTAATGGGTATGAAGTCTAAATCTAGGTTATGTTTAAAATTTAGGCTGAGGAAAAGAGCTGTATCTTGAGTAGATTTATCACACAGATATTCTTTTGAATATAATTTTGTTCTGGAAAGTAGATTAAGAAAATAGTTACTACTGTGTCAATTTTCTTGATATTGACATAGTTTCTGGGTATTATATATTCTTCACAGTTATCATGAAACTTTTCCCTTCTTGACATGTATACAGATAGGAGAGTGTATATATAGGAACATAAGACTTGAGCTGAATATATTGGTTTCTTACTTCTTCAACTCATCAACTGAAGAGGATACATATGTATGATATATATGTGTCTGTGTATATGCACACATACATATTAGAAATCTGAAACATTATTTTCATTAGCCCATGGACTAGATGGACTGCTGTTTCCAATAACATGTTTTATTATACTAACAAAACCAAATTTAATTAAAAAAAAAAAAGAAAAAAAGAAAAAAATGAGACACTTTTATGAAAGGGTTTACATTCATGCACCTGAGTTTTCATCAGCATGATTCGTCATCTTGCACACCCATGTGGTAAGGCGAGGCTGGGCTGTCCTGATCACCAGCCACATGGGTACTCCCTGCCACTCCCACGTGTGTCCCGCCCCTGCTCTCCCGCTTCCCACAGTGTTTGTAATTCCCACAGCTGGCCCACTGGAGCAAGAGCGGTTCGGTTTCCCTGCATTCAGTGGCATTTCTCGCCTGACCTGGCTCGTCTCTCTCTTCGGGGAACTTTCTCTTGTGTCTGCCACTTTGGAAGAGCGAAAGGAAGATCATTACCTGAAAATGACTGTGTGCTTGGAGACAGAGAACAAACGGTAGGTTGTGAGAAACTGTGAAGAGAAGAAAACTTAAGGACATTTTCCTGAGTTCATCAGAGTGAATCTGGGGGACCTACACCCTTAGCCCCACCTCCAGAAGGGCTGCCTGCTTTTGCTACAGGACAGTTACTAATATTTCACGTATGTTGCTCTATTTCTTCTTCACAGCAGCCATGAAAGGTAAATAAGACAAACATGATACCCTTTGCTAGTAAGTAAACAGACTTACAGAATTTGAGTAGGTTGCCTGGGCCATACAGTTGAGCAATATGAGATCTAGTAGCTTCTGTGGCCTGAATATTTCCCAAAATCCTATATAATAAAAGTGGAAGATGCAAATCGACCAAATGGCAGAACGACCAGTCAGTGGGGGGCAGGGCCAGCGAGCAGGTGGTGCCAGGCCAGCCAAGGCGCATGCCAGCTGGCAGAGGGGGGAACAGCGAAGTGGGGTAGGGGGGGGCAGCAATCAGTGACAGTGGAGGGGCGATAGGGGGGCTATGGGGGAAGGCAGCACTGTCACCTGATTCCCTGTCCTTGCCTCCTGCAGAAGGAGGCTGAGGCTGGGTGGCAATGGCAGAGTGATGGGGGTGGTGCCGTTCCCTGATTGGCTGGCCCAGTCGCCTCCCGCAGAGGGAGGCCAGACTGTGGCTTAGGCCCGCTCCCATGGAGCAGGTCTAAGCTGTCAGTCAGACATCCCCTGAGAACTTCCAGGCTGTGAGAGGGTGCAGGCTGGGCTGAGGACCGCCTCCCTCCAGTGCATGAATTTTTGTGCACCTAGCCTCTGATTTTACTGTAAAAGTTTCAGACATATGGTGAGGTTGAAAGAATTTTGCAAAGAACACCCTTACAAATACCACCTAGATCTTGCCATTAACATGTTATCCCTGCTTGCTTATCACATGTCCAAAATTTGGGTTACCTTTATCATCACATCATACTGTCATACTGTTCCCCAAATATTCTGATTCTCTCTCATACCAAGTCTTTTTTCAACAAAAACACATTTATCAATTTCTTTTAAAAGCATGTCAGCTGTGTAAAGTATTTAAAACAGAGAAGGTTTTAGAGTTCCTATGTGTGTGGGTCTCTCGGTAATAAAATAAACAGTCCATCAGGGTATTTAAAAAAAGGGAAAATTATTTTTTTTCCTGAGTGAAACCTGATGTCCACTTAGAGGAGCCTCCTCTTTCCTAGGCAAAGGCAGAGGTAACAGGTGATGGACAGCACGTGCAGTGATAGCAGGGGGGCCCTGGCTCTGATGCTGGTCACGTGGATTTGCAGCCATATCCACTGGCAGGTGCTGTGCCCTGTGTTCAGAGCTAACGGTAGCTCAGGGCGCTGCAGGAGAGCAGGGAAGGGGCACCTGGAGAGCCAGATCGTTCTGCTTAGAGGGGGAGGTGCTGTGCTGGGTAGTGGAGTGGGAATCAGACCGGAAACAAGAGCTGACTCTCATTGCAAAGCCCTGGGTGAAGGTTGGGCAGATGGTAAGTACCATAATTTTTTAGTTCACATAATTCTCTCCACCTCACAAATGGCATTTTTAATTTCACCACTATCACCACCACAACATAGGTAAAGATGTTGTGCACTTGTTATTCATTTTTACTCTTAGGAAGTTGAAGTGGAGGAGACATCCTGGCATTTTGTATTCCCTCAAATTCTAAGGCTGACTGTTATTTGGAGGGCTCTGAGAAATTGTCTCAGGTAGATTAGAATATTTGGAATATCTTAATGCTTTTTGTCTGGTGTTAAAGCAGTTAATAAGAAGCATTGATAGTAATCTTTGTCATCACATCCTGGAATGTTTGTAAAGGCTGTATCATGAGCTTTAAAGCTAGCCATAGGCTGACACTAATATCATGTCACTTGTCATCTCTACCTCAATAAAGCAAACACAAAACAAAACTCTAAAAAACTAGCTATGAACTTAACTGTTTTAAATATATATATATATATATATATATATAATTTCAGAGAGGAAGGGAGAGGGAGAAAGAGAGATAGAAAAATCAGTGATGAGAGAGAATCATTGATCGGCTGCCTCCTGCATGCCCCTACTGGGGATCGAGCCCGCAACCCAGGCATGTGCCCTAGAACAGAATTGAACCTGGGTCCTTTCAGTCCACAGGCTGACATTCTATTCACTGAGCCAAACTGGCTGAGCTAAAATTAAACTTTTTAGAAGAATTTATACCAACATTTTATAGAGTTGATAATAATCATGTATTTTTTTTTATTCGAGGCATAACCAAAAAACAGTTTAGTTGATAGATTTGAACACCTTACAAGTTTACTAATTTAACTTAATTACTGTTTACTAGAGTCTCTGCCTGACCTGAAGGTGAACACCACGTTTATGGGTTAGTGTTGATTCACACGTGGATCATGTTAATGGCTTCCAGAGCCGGCAACTTGCTGCACCACAGTTCCTTGAGCAGAAGGGTCCCCCCTGCTTGGTTTACAGACCCCATGGGGTAGTGTGCTGTGTGCGGAAAGCCTCTTCTCCTGTGTGTGCAGCTCTTGCTTCTGACTTTGCCGGGAAGAATGCTTTGGGATCTGTGAGCCACTTTTCTCTTTCTCCCCCAAATCTTTTCTTAGCCTGCAGGCCAGACTTTGCAAGTAGATAATTTTTCCAGGCCTTGTCACTGCACGTGAGGAGCCTCTGCCGGTTGTTTCCAGATACAAATGGTTAAGTTGCAGCTGTCTCCAAACAGCAAGGTGGCATGGAGCAGGACCCCAGCGGGATGTGGGGTGAAGGGGAGGCATGCTCTTCAGAGGCCACAATAGAACTAGCAAGACGGGGATCGTTACTTGAAACCCTGTTGTACGATTGCTAGAATTCGCTCATGGTTTTTGTCTGGCGTGTGCCGGACAAAATATTACGTTCTTTGAGAACGTAATGAAGGGATACTTTCCCATTAAAATGCACATTCGCATGAGAATAGTTTTCACAAAATCTCAGGTGGTGCATGGGTTGCCTGTAGTTCCTATCTGTCTCCCCTAGAGGGACCCATTAGGCTCAGAGTAAAAACTGAATAACCAAGTGGTGTTCACAAAAAGCATTGCATGAATCCCCCTGTCCGTGGCAAAATTAAAGGCCTGTTTGGCACTAAAGTTGGGAATGACCGTGGGGGGCTGGTATGCCACCTTGGCCACCACGGGGAGCAGCAGCTGCGGGGCAGGTGGCCACAAAACGAGGGCCTGTTCCCAGGAGGCAGCAGGCATTCCCTGGTGCTGCCCTGTGCTAACATCTCTGTTCTTCTGCCTTTGCAGTCCGCTGACGTGGATCGAAGAGAAAGGGCCTGGTCTAAAACGAAACCGACATTTAAGCTTCCATTTCAAGTCGGGGTCCCTGGAGGATGTGCCACATGTAGGCGATAATAAGAATATTTTCCTGAAAGATCAGACTATATTTGTCCAGAAACTCTTGGGCCAGATTTCTGAAGCGGAACTGGCTGCTGAAAAGAAGCGCATCCTGCACTGCCTGTGGCTCGCGGACGAAATCCAGAAACGCTGCTGCTGAAAGGAAGGAGGAAAGAAAGCAGCGGGCTCTTCCAACATGAAGCCACAGTTTGATTTTTACCGAGTTGGTTTTACCTCTATTCTTGCAATTAAACACGTCCTGGGGACACAGGCTTTGCTTATTGTCATGGTTGTATTGGGCGTGGTATTGAGAGTGGAGGCACATGAAGAGGGGATGAGGAAAGAACTCAGCTTAAGCTGATCCAGTGCTTTATATGCCTGGTTTCATTTACTTTTTCCAACAACCCTCTTAGAAGGGGATGACCAGGCTTGTTCCCGTTAGCACATTGGAAATTCTTGCTTCCAACCCCACTCAGGCACCCCACCACTACAAAATAGCCCCACGAGCCTTAGTCCCTGCTTAAAGGAATTTTATTTTCTCTCACAAACTTTCCCTAGTCGACTACGCTAAGTACGCAGGTTTCTTAAAATGAATGAGACGTAGCTACTGCCCCCAATAACTCACAGTGTCATAAAGGAACCAGTTGCATAAACCGGTCATTGTAATGGAGTAGGTTCAATAAAAAAAAAAAAAAAAAGAGATATATCCTGGCCCTCCAGAAGGGAGTCCACGGAGATTCTGCCCAGGAGTAAGTCAGCTGTAAAGGTGAGAGCAGGGCTCTCCTGGCAGAGAGCTCAGTAAGGAAGCAGAGTGAGAAGCAGCCTGGGTAGAGCCATGGGAACCCTGGCGTACTGGGGGAGGGAGGCCCAGAGAGCAAGTCTTATGCTGGAGGACCCTCCCACCCCCATCCCCACCCCCAGCCAGGGAAGGAGCCGGCGTGTTATGTGTCAGGCAATGCTGATGCGCGGAATGGTGTAATTTATTAGGGGAGTGGCACGGTCAGCTGAGAGCCAACCAATATGTGTGTGCTTCCAGCCTTTGCTCTGCCTGGACTTGTCCCTGAGGTCGAGTCAGACTCTGCTGAGCTTGAGGAAGAATCAAGAATCAAGTCCCAGGAAGTTGCTTTTTTGTTTCATCGAAGGTCCTATTGCATTTTCTTCAAAGCTGGGTTAGCTTTCTTGCTTCTGTAAATCCTCCACTTGTTTTTTTTTGCCTCCTCCTCACTTGCCATTAAACAGTTCAGAATCCATTGATGGAGGCAAACTCTATTTTTTTTTTTTTACCTGTTTATATTATTTCATCACCATAGTACATTAATTTAAATATGTTAAAGCCTTATGGTTATTCTTACATTTGCCATATAAAATAATTTGTAATAAATATTAGTCAATTTATTTTTTTGTTTGGTTATATACATCAAATGTCCCTTAAGGTCAGGGAATATTGTATTGTATTTATTTTTGTATGCTGTGCAGCCTTATGACAAGAACTTACAGAGCAGGCCATAACAAGAATGGTAGGAAGTTTGGAGGACCAAGAGAGCAGGCTGGAATCCCACAGCAGGAGCTAAAGTTCCAGAGGCATATTTTTACTGTGGGGGGTGTCCTCTGAAGAGTTTGGGGTCTAAACCCCATGCCAGGGTCCCCAGAACAGAGGAGCAGAACCAGGAAAGACGCCCCCCTAACATTTGGCTTAGAAAAAGCAGTGGGGTTTCTTCTGTCAGGGAGAGACAGCTGGAAATGCAGGCACCCACTTAAAGGGTCAATACACAAAATTTTGTTTGCAGCCACTCCCCCTGCGCTCTGAGGGAGAAGGGCAGAGGGTCTAGAACTGCATGAGGAGTCTCTGGTGATGGCTCTCAGGAGAGAGCTGAGAGGTCAGCCAGCAGGATCCCTATTCTGAGTCATTCCCCCTACTGCAGAAGCCATCTTTCCCAAGCAGAGCAGCCTGGGTAAAGCAATAGCCCCACCTGGTGGCATCCTTCTCCACACACCCTGCGGAGAAGTACAGCTGGAGGCTCTTTATGTGACGGAGCCTAACAGACAGCTTGCAGGCAGAAGCAGATCTCAGGGTACCTTGAGATATTTGCTGATATGCCCCTGTGCCCAGTGCTAGTAACAGCAGACCTTGGCGCACAGCTCGCTCCTTTCCACACTCTTCTAGCCCCAGCAGATGGAGCCACAAGCTCACTAATAGCTCCAAACAAGCTATTCTGAGACAATGTCTGACATTGGCCTGCACCAGCGTCCCTTTGAAGAGGTCCAGAACCAATAAACCCAGTTGCAAGCTTCAGACAACAAAGCCGCATATCCCCAGGGAGATCTCGGCAGGCATCAAACTCTGCCGAGGTGAATTTGCTTCATGTGATCAGCACGTGCACAAGAGCTTGCATGCTGTGTTGGGGGCTAAGCCTCCCTGAGGGTTAATCCAATGCACAAACAGGCCAATAGCAATCAAGACTCAATTACAATAGGAGGGCCTACATCACAAAAAATACATTTTTAGAGCACCCAGCTCAAGTGATCAAGAGATTGTGTCACTGGGTTACACAGGCCATCTATTACTTTAGGCCACTCAACCAAGAGTCAGCAGACCCACCTAGTTCATAGAAACAAACAGGCAGCCAAAATGGGGAGACCAAAGAAACAGGCTCCAAATCAAGGAACAATAGAATTATCCAGCAGAGCTAAAATGAAAGGGAGGTATGGTTCTTATAGATTTCAGAATAATGATTATAAGGATTCTCAACAGCATGAAAAGGGACACAGAAACCATAAAAAATGGACCAGTGAGAGATGAAGAATGCAATATCTGAAATAAAGAATACACTGGAAGGAATAAACAGTAGGCTTGATGAAGCAGAGGATCAATTCAGCAATTTGGAAGACAAAAAAAAAGCACCTGATCAGAGCAGTAAAAATAAAAAACACTTAAAAAGAATGTTGTCCCAAAGGACAACATAAAATGAACAACATCCATGTCATAGGGGTATCAGAAGTGAGGGATGAAAAACCTATTAGAATGATGACTGAGAACTTCCATAACCTGGTGAAAAAAAGAGATATACTTTTCTCACCAGCTTAGGAAGTCAGTTACCTACGAGGGAACTCCCATAAGACTGTCAGCTGATTTTTCAATAGAAATGTTTCAGCCAGAAGGGATTGGCATAAAATATTCAAAGAGCAAGAGCCTAAAATAAAACCAAGGCTACTTTCCCCAGCAAAGATATCATTTAAAATTGAAGGAGAAATGGAAGAAAAGAAAGAAGAGGAAAAAGAAAGAAAAAAAAGGAGTAGGAAGATGAGAAGAAAGTTTAAAAAATAAAATGGCAATAAATACATACCTATCAATACTCATTTTAAATGTAAATGGCTTAAAGGCTCCAATCAAAAGACATAAGGCAACTGAATGGATAAAAGAAAACCCATGTATATACTGTCTTTAAGAGCCCCACCTCAGAATGCGAAACACAAACTAAAGGTAAAGGGATGGAAAAAGATATTTCATGAAAATATAAAGGAAATAAAAGCTGAAGTACTAATTCTTTTTAAAAAAAATATGTATTTTTTTATTTCAGAGAGGAAGAGAGAGGGAAGGAGAAACTATCAATGATGAGAGAGAACCATTGATCAGCTGCCTCCTGCATGCCCTCTGCTGGGGACCTGGCCCACAACTCAGGCATGCACCCTGACTAGGAATGGAACCTTGGCCTCTTGGTTTATAGGTTAATGCTCAATCACTAAGACATACCGGCCAGGGTAAAATGAATCAGGTATTTTTTCAATCTTTAGGTAAAAGTAACCAATCAACTTATCCTTCCCACAATATTGAATCTCTATACTATCACTTTACAGTTTTAAAACTGGCAATTTTATTTTAGAACTAGAGGTTTGGTGCACAGAAATTTATGCGGGGGGGGGGGGGGTTGGGGGGAGAGAGTGTCCCTCAGCCCAGCCTGCCCCCCCTCACAGTCTGGGAGTCCTCAGGGTATTTCCCAAGTTGCAGTCTGGCCTCTCTCTGCGGGAGATAAGGTTGACTGGGGGAAGGCACTGCCCCCATCACCCTGCTGCTGCCACTATCGGCACCATGGCTGCTGGCTCTCAGCCCTCGCTTCTTAGTGCTGGCCCTGCCCCCACCCACTGGTGGGTGGAAGTAATCTGGGGCCAGGCCAGCTGGGGTAGGGGGTGTGGGAGGTAGAGGCACAGCAGATGGCACCCTGTCCAGCCTCTGTGGAGGCATGGCGCCGGGAACAACTCCACGCCACTGCCTCTGCGGAAGGGGCAGCACTGGGACTGGGGCCGCACAGCCCTCTCCCACTGCCTCTGCGGAAGGAGCCACCCCCTATCCCGCCGCCTCTGCGGAAGGGGCTGCAGCACTGCACCAGCCTGTGCCGGCCCTCGGCCCTTGCAGCTGCGAGGTTTATCTAGAAGGACGTCTGGTCTATCTTGTCTAATTAACATATTACCCTTTTATTAATATAGATACCATCTCCTAAGAGTCATTTATGTTGTTTTTTTTGTTTGTTTTTTGGTTTGGGTAGGAGAACGCACTGAAGTGAATATTCCGTAACTCTTTGGTTAAAAAGTTGGCTCAAGTTACATTTTTAGCTTAGAATGTTTTTGGTTGTACTTTCATAGAAAGTGTCAAAACATTAGTTTTGTGAGTGTGAAAGTGCCTTCTATCTTTTGAATATGATTTTTAGTACTATCGTAATACTTACAAAGAATGCAGAATATAGCTTTAAATTTGGCGCTCTCAGAGTAAAAAGAGATATGCTTTAAAGCTTTAATTTGCTCAATATTGGCTCAGAAATTTAAAAGGTGTTTTCCTTAACATTAATTTAACTTTTTTTGTAGCTATAAACTCATATTTTAACATTTGGCTTTTCTGTTGTACTATTTCTGAATAATAATAAAACACAATACTATTTCATTTGGATGATACTGATATAGACACACTTAACCAAGAAATTTTCAAATCCACCTGCTATCAACCATGAACTCTAAAGCATAGGCATTTTTTGACTATCACTTGCAATATACTAGAACATACAATAACTGTTATTTGCTCATTAATAAAAAATTTTTAACAAAATTTTATTCAAAGTATTAGGAAAACCATATTCAAAGCACAGAAATAATTAGACCATAACAACAATGCTGCATAGATAGTGGTATACAAGTTCCCTGACGCTTAGTGACTTCCTCCTAACTAAAACTTCAGTTTGCAAGTCACCAGATAAAAAATGGTGGGGCATAATTTCGTCTCTCTGAGGCTGAAAAATGGCTTTGATGGTGAGAAGTGACACCACTTAAACATCAAAGATTAGATTATACCCCAACTTAACTATACTCCCTTTTTGTATTTCCCAGAGATAAAACTTCAGATTGTGAGGATTACTAGAAGGAAATAGAAGATAAATTACCCCTTGGAAGATATCCTGACCAGTGCTTGCTTTAATGAGACAAAACACTGAAAAAAGTTTTAAAGATTACAACCTCACCATTATGCTTAAGTAAAACTGTTAATATAAATACATTTTTACATAATATCTTACAAGAAAATGTTTCCAATCCTTTCACCTTCAGTAAAAAAAAACACACAAATGTTATCACTAATGGAGATTTGAAAAATAATTTTAAAGCAACTTTAACTTTATAGAGATCGAAATAATTTCTGGAAAATTGCAAATAGTCTAAATCAATAAGAAATTGCTAAATTTATAAGATTACTTTTCGAAAAGGAAGACAACTTATCTGGAAGAAATTTGTAGTGAAAACATTGTTCATTAAAAAAAACATGGTTCCCTGAAAAAGACTCTTAAAATTGCCTGTATTTTCATAGGCCCCAACAATTCACAAAGGAGCAACTTTTAGGCTCTAGCCTCTTAGTTACCTATATAAAAATTTTTAAATCTAAATAGTAACTTGTGCTAGGTCACAGCCAAGACACCTGAATGTAATGGACAAAAGCAAATTTTGCATGCATTTCAGGTAGACTTTTTTTCTTTCCCAAGAAAAAGTATGTAATTTTTCAAATGGACTTGGGACACAAACCCTACTATTCACAAAAAAATATTTTGTATGCAAATTTAGTTTCCTTAAATAGTAAATATCCTGGTCTATGCCTAGAAAATAAGGCATGAGTAATTAATTCTTCACTGCAGAGCATTTTCTTTCTAATGCAAACATCTCAAAGTGCACTGTTACTTTTACATCTCATGCATTCACAGTCAGAATTTTCTGAATCTCTACATACTTTTAGTATAAAAGAATGTTTATTCCCAACTACTTACATACCATAATTACTTAAGAAAAGACAAAGGGAGAGCAGCTACAGAAATAACAGGATATTTTTCACAAATAAGAATATAACGTACAAAAACTGGCAAATTAGTGGTAACTGGTAGTATGAACTCTTAATAATATTCTACTTTGGTTTTCAAACTAAGATTTGACAAGTTTAAAGCCCTGTCCCGTGTCCAGCACAGCAGGAAGAAACCAACTCATTTTTAACCTTTTCAAGCACCTGAAACAGCTTTGGCAGATCCATAAAAGGTTCAGACCACACAACCAATTAGCCAAATGCACCAGTGGATATGTAATACGAGGGAAGTGTAACATCCAGTGCTTGGCCACATCACTGCCCGTTGGCAAGTGCAGAGTGTAGTCGCTCCACGGCTTGGACACGCCGTACACTGCCTTCACTCTGCGTCCCTTTTCAGTCCAGCAGATGTTGTTACTGGAGTTGCAGTTGTATTCTACCCAGTCTTTTGTAAAGTCACCCAGCTGTGGTGGGTCGGCTTCTTCAATGTCCATTGTCTTCATCATCTCTGCTCCCTGCACGGCAATATACTGGTCACTGATTTTTCTGACTTCTTTCACCCAAGGGGTTGAATTCTCACTGTCTAATATAATAATAAGTCGAGAACAGAAGGAACCATTCTTTTCTCTCCACCATTCTAAGAGTGTGTCAAGGCGTAGTATGTCTCCACCTATAAACAAAAGAAAATTCAATAAGAAATTTCTGAATCCTCTCAATAAGAATACCCTTCTGTCATAAGTGTATTTTTTTTTATAAATTTTGGAAATTAAATATAAGAATAGAAAAACAGCCTTCTTTTCAAAGTATTTTCTTAGAAGATTAAAAAAAACAAAAACAAACTTTCAACTTCAAGTTAAAAAAACCAGAACCAAAAAAAAAAAAAAAATCAACAAAAAAACATCCTTATTACTCAAATAAAAAATGGGATAATTTTGGGATATGCTACAATAAATTTAGAAAATTATTTCTCTGGCCAGTTTGAGCATTGGCTCACAGACCCAAAGGTCTTGGGTTTGATTCTCAGTCAAAGGCACAGACCTCAGTTGCAGGCTTGATAGCAGGCCCCAGTTGGGACCTGATAAGAGGCAATCAATCAATGTTTCTCTCTCATATCCATGTTTCTCTGTCTCTCTCTCTCTGTTTCCCTCCCTCCTCTCCTCTACTCACTAGATAAAAAAATTCAATGGAAAAATATATCCTCAGGTGAGAATAAATAAATGCAATCTTTAAAAAATTACTTTATAAAGTTGTATTTGTTGAAAAAATAAAATTATAAAGGAAAACTTATATTCTTCTACATCAAAAACAGCAAATACGGCTCATGGTCCAAATCTAGCCCATTATCTGTCTTCATATAGCCTGAGAGCTGAGGATTGATTTTACATGGTTGAAAAATATTAAAAACAAAGAGTATTTTGTGACATGGGAAAATATGAAATTTACATTTCATATAATTGTTTCTGTAAATAAACTCATTTGCATTCTGTCTATGGGTGCTTTTCTTTTTTCCTTTTTAATCTTCATTTAAGGATATTTTCAACTACAGCAGCAGAGCTGAGTAGTTCCAACAACAGGCATCTTATGGCCCCAAAAGCCAAAAATATGTGGTCCTTTACACAAAATATTTGCCAATCCTGTTGTGCACCACTGATAAAATAATGTTACCTATCTTGTACGTAGTATCTACTGGATGAAGAAGAAACTCTCCTCCCTCTACCAAGAATGAATTTATTTTTAAATCAGTTTTATATGTGAAAAACAATAAATGATTAAAAATAGTTTACTCAGAAAGCTCTAAAGTAAATAAATTTGACCTATAAACCTATCTTATAGTTAAAAGGCTTTCCATCTGGTTCACTGTGGATAGTTTCTTTTGCATTAACTTTGATTTTTTAAATGTTACATTAAAATATTATTTTGATTATTTGATTTTTGGCACCCTCTTAAATTTCATGGCTAAGCCAATTGACATCTATCTTTACATTTCCCTGGTCCTGGCTCTGTCTCAATTATACACTGATACAATCATCCTAATTCTAGTTATTTATCCTAAGGAAAGAGTAGATATTGGGGCAAAAAATTATATATAATGATTTCCTTCCCTTTGTTATCTAAAATAGTGTGAAATCTGAAACAACCGGGGGAATGGAAATAAATGATGGTAAAACCTAATGAGGGGAAGGGAACTTTATAGTAAAATTAGAGGCCCAGTGCATGAAATTCATGCACGGGAGAGGGAGGTCCCTTACCCCGGCCTGCAACTCTTGCAATCCGGAACCACTGGCTCCTAACGGATCACCTGCCTGCCTGATCACCCCTAACCACTCTGCCTGCTGACCTGATCGCCCCTAACTGCTCTCCCCTGCCGACCTGATCACCCCCTAACTGCCTCTGCCTCAGCTCCTGTCATTGTAGCTTTGTCTGGAAGATGTCCAGTCTAATTAGTATATTACCCTTTTATTAGGATAGATGATATCTATTAAGAAATTTTAATGACAACAAAATTATCTATGCAATTAGGATAAAAGTATGATACAGAAGTATATCTATAAAAATAATAGCAGTGGTTATTTCTGGGTGTTTGGATTTCAGGTGGTTTTACTATGTTTTTTAATATTTTCCAATTATTTTTTACATTGAATATGTTACTTTTATAATTAGAAAAATGTTTTAACATGCTATAGTTTAATTTTTGTTGTTGTTAATCCTCACCTGAAAATATTTTTCCATTGCTTTCAGAAAGAGTGAAAGAAAGGGAGGGAGAGAGAAATATCGATGTGAGATGGGAGGGAGATACATCAACTGGTTGCCTCCTGCATGCACCCCAACAGGGAGTAGGATACAAACTGGCAGCCCAAGTCCATACTCTTGATCGGAAATTGCACCTAAGACCCTTTGGTCTATGCGGGCCGATGCTCTAACCACTGGACTACACTTGCTAGGGCATAGATACTCCCTGAAGATATATTTTTAAAAATGGTGAAGCCAAAACCGGTTTGGCTCAGTGGATAGAGTGTTGGCCTGCGGACTGAAAGGTCCCGGGTTCAATTTTGGTCAAGGGCACATATCTTGGTTGGGGCACATCCCCAATGGGGAGTGCAGGAGGCAGCTGATCGATGACTTTCTCTCATCGATGTTCTTAACTCTTTATCTCTCTTCCTTCCTCTCTGTAAAAAATCAATCAAATATATTTTTAAAAAAATAAAAAATAAATAAAAATGGTGAAATGCTAACTTTTCATTACTGCCAATTCTATTATATTTCTCTAGAGACCAGAGGATAACAGATTACAGGTGCTATTATACAAATTCTATCTGCCATAAAACATTCCTAATTTGCCTTTTACAACTATTTCAATAAATATTCTTCAGCACATTCTACAATCTTTCATATATATATATATATGTGTATATATATATATATATATATATATGCTCTTTAAATATCAACAAGAGATGTCAAGCAGCATTAAAATCTTTTAAATGATATCTCTTCTATTTTGTTTTGCTTTGCTTTCTTCTATGAATTAGAGAAAATTCATTTGGCTTTTGCCCAGATATTAAGTTCTTAACATTTATCTTAGATAACAGCCATGTCATGCATTTCAAGTAATTGATATTGCATTATAAAGGCTTTGTTTGTCTCTGATAAAGTACATTACAGATTATCTACTTATTTTTCATTTACAAAGTAGATAAAAGTAGGTTACACTTGTTTCTATGGGAAATCCTATATAATAATCCTATATAATAAACAGGTACTATGCAAGTTGACCTGCTACCCATTGGAGATCCAGAAACTAGTGTATCTAGTGTCTGTGTGAGACAACACCAGATTTCAACCACTCTCATAAGGGACACATTCATGAGGCAGACTCAGTGAGCACCAAAGCCCTACTGGAACAAGTCCTGCCCCATAAACTTGTCTCCAGCACGGCAGGTCCTCACAGCCAATTGGCCTGGAGGTCAATTCCTCCCAGTGACACCAACAACAATCAAGACTTAACTACAAGGCTGTACACACAGTCCACAAAGGGGTGCACCAAGAGTGTCCACATCAGGCAACTGGGAGGCTTGCCCATTGAACCATATAGGACACCTAGTACACAAAGCTACCCTACCAACTCAGGGAAGCAGTGAAATGAGGAGACAAGGAAACAGATCCCAAATGAAAGAAATAGAGGAAAACAAACGACTGGACATAGAGTTCAAAATCACAGTTATAAGGTTTCTCAAGAATTTCCTAGAAAAGGTCAATAAATTTAACAAGACCCTCAAGGATATGGAAAAGGACCAACTAGAAATTAAACATACATTGACTGAAATAAAAAATATACAGACACCCAATAGCAGACTAGAGGAACACAAAAATCAAGTCAAAGATTTGGAACACAAAAATCAAGTCAAAGATTTGGAATACAAAGATTTGGAGAAGCAAGAAGAGAATCCAGAAAGTTGAACATAGTGTAAGAAGCCTCTAGGACAACTTCAAGTGTACCAACATCAGAATTATGGGGGTACCAGAAGAAGAGAGAGATCAAGACACTGAAAACCTTTTTGAAAAAATAATGACCGAAAACTTCCCCCACCTGGACTTACAAGTCCAGGAAGCACACAGAACCCCAAACAAAAGGAATCCAAAGAGGACCACACCAAGACACATCATAATTAAAATTCCAAGAGCAAAAGACAAAGAGAGAATCTTACAAGCAGCAAGAGAAAAACAGTTGCCTACAAGGGAGCACCCATACGATTATCAGCTGATTTCTCAACAGAAACTATGCAGGCCAGACAGAGGTGGCAAGAAATATTCAAAGTGATGAATAGCAAGAACCTACAACCAAGATTACTCTACCCAGCAAAGTTATCATTCAGAATTGAAGGGCAGATAAAGAGCTTCACAGATCAGAAAAAGCTAAAGAAGTTCATCACCACCAAACCAGTATTATATGAAATGCTGAAAGGTATTCTTTAAAAAGAGGAAAAACAAGAAAAAAGTAAAGATAGCAATTATGAACAACAAATACATATTTATCAACAAGTGGATCTAAAAGTCAAGTGAATTAAAAATCTGAGTAATAGAATAAACTGGTGAATATAATAGAATCAGGGCATAGAATGGGAGTGGATTGATAATTCTCAGGAGGAAAGGAGTGTCTGTGTGGGGGTTATGGGAAGAGACTGGACAAAAATCATATATTTATGGATGAGGACAGTGGGGGGGGGAGGGTGGACACTGGGTGGAGAGGAGCTATGGGAGGAAAAAAAGAGAAACAATTGTAATAATCTGAAAAAAAAAAAACAACAACCTGTCAATCTAGAAAAAACAATATTCCTACTCTATTAAAAAAAAAAAAAGAGGTAATATGCAAATAGACAGTCATTCCAACACACAAGATGGCTGCCCCCATGTGGACACAAGATAGCTGGCAGGGGAGGGCAGTTGTGGGAGATCAGGCCAGCAGGGGAGGGCAGTTTGGAGGAATGAGGTCTATAAGGGAGGGTATTTAGAGGTGACCAGGCCTGCAGGAGAGGGCAATTGGAGTGGGGAGGGGGGTGTTACAGGCCTGCAGGGGAGAGCAGCTAGAGGTCACCAGGCTAGCAGGGGAGGGCAGTTAGAGGTGACCACGCCAGCAGGGGAGGGCAGTTGGGGGGAGGGAAACTAGTCCTG